CCCCCGTACCCGCCCCACATACATCAGTATGTCTTTAGTACAGCCACAGAGAGGAGACACTGAAGATTAGTATTCAGAGCACAGGGAGGAAGAGGAGGAGAGGCAGCGCGCGCGCAAAGCGAGTGAGAGTGAAAGGGAGGGGACAGGAGGAGAAAAAACCAGGAGRTGGGGAGGAAAATATAAAAAGCAAGAACAAGCGGAGAACCGAGAGGAGATTTATCTCGTTTCTGTTTCAGTCTGCCTTCCCGGTGTGGAGAGAGGCCGACAGGGAGGAGGAGGAGGAGGAGAGGAGGGGGTGCACGGAGCGAAAGAGGGCGGAATGCCCCCTTACAGGCGTCGCATCTGACTGAAGCACGGCTCGGAGGCTGGAGAGGACCGGAGGCTCCTGCGACGTGAAGGTAGGAAGAGAAACATCCGTGATGTCAGCCATCCTGTTTTTATTATTATTTTTATCCCCAGTCCAGCAGCACGAGCCTGCTGCCTTTTAAATATTTAATGTTTAGCCTTTTTATTTCTGCATCAGCTTCCCTCCTTTATAACGCATCCTATAGATATATAAACATATATGTTTTATAGAGCGGGGATGAGAGGAGGAGGCACACAGATCAGTAATGGCAGCTCTCCTCTCACAATCAGATCACTTTTTTCTCCTTTTTTTWAAATAATTTGGGCTCTAGGACGAGCAGACGGTGGGGTGCGCGCACGAGCACGCAGAAAACACACATTAGACAGGTTGACGTGCATGAGACGTGCGTAATTCCCCCCCTTCTCCCCCCCTCCTCCACCCCATCTTCAAAGCCGGTGTCCCAAATTCAAATGAACCAGTCTGAGACACAAACTGTCCCAGAGAATCTGACACAGAAACGTTTGTTGGTCCTTCACAGAAATGAGAAGCAGAACTCTGTTTTGTCTCATCCGTCCCAGAAACTTTTCTTTTTTKTYCTTTTTGTTATTTTCTGTCAGCAGGGATGGCTTCATGGAGCCTGTTACAGGTCAAAATGAAGGCGTGGTCAGAAGGTGACACACCTTGACCTTGGAYGGTTTCACCCCAGCTCCTTCTCTAACATCCACACTCTCAAAATRATTAAAGCGGGGTCGCATTTTGTCTTGCGTTCACTCCCTGGAAGCTCAGTCCCATGAACTTTATACTTTTTTAAATATGCTCAATGCCCTGATGCATCTCAGTAATCCAGGTAAAAAACAAAAAAGAAAAAAATTGTATAGGTCCTCTGGACGGGTTCTTCTCTAATG